GAGTCGGCGAAGAAGGAATGACACGGAGACAGGGTTCAGTTGATCAGCATAGCGAGGTTCTCTCACCAGGTTCTGTCCAGGATCTCCAGCCAAGTTCTGTTTTCAGAAATTTTTTTGTTATTAATTTTAATCTCTTTACTTGTTATAGGTGTATTCATATTTCTTGTTGTGTCAGTTTTGGTAGTTTGTGTCTTTCTTGGAATTTGATCTAGGTCATCTAGTTTGTTTGTTTGTTTTCAAATTATAAGAGGAAGTTTATTTAGATAGTTACAGAGGTTGTAGAAGTGAGCCAGCTGGGCTGCATAGGTGCAGGAAACAAGTTACAGAAGCAAAAGAAGGGCCCTTGAGCTTAGGAGAGAGAAAGGCAAAGGTAACATGCTTGGGGAGAAGAAGAGGAAGAAAGGAAAGGCATGGGTGTGCTTCTTCGAGGGAGAGCGTGCCTCTTCTAGGTTATCTAATTTGCATAGTCATTTTTATTTCAATCTTTTTGGTAGTAATGTTCCCTCTTTTACTCCTGATTTTAGAAATTTGAGGCTTCTCTTCCCTCTCCCTGCCTTGATTAGTCTACCAGTGGTCGGCAAACTGCGGCTCTTGAGCCACATGCTGCTCTTTGGCCCCTTGAGTGTGGCTCTTCCACAAAATACCGACTTTTGCGCATGGGCACTGTACGTGCACGCCCACACGAGGTATTTTGTGGAAGAGCCACACTCAAAGAGCCACATGTGGCTCGTGAGCCGCAGTTTGCCGACCACTGTTCTAGCCAAAGGTTTGTTGATTTTGTTAATCTTTTCAAAGATTAACTTTTGGTTTCATTGATTTTTCTCTGTTGTTTTCTATTCTTTATTTCACATATTCCTGTTCTAATTATTAGGGGCAGAAATAGAATATTGGGGTCTAGCTATAATTATAAGAAATATTAATCATGCTCTGTTAACCATGATTGTTCTGTTCTGATTAGAAAAAGCACATTCTAACCTGGCTGAGAGTTGCATGCCTGGGACATGGGAGCTAACATTGGAATGTAATCCATCCTCCTTTCCTGGGAGCTGTCTATCATTATGGAAAGATTTACAACCTCGTGGCTGAAACAGTCTAGTCCTAGAGGCACCTACCCTTTGCAATTCCCCCCACTCCACCCCCCAGCCCCTATTGCCTGTAATCTGGTCCCAGGGGTGCCTGGAGGCACCTGTTCTTTGCTACTACCCCCAGCCCTATTGCCTGTAACCATCATAACTTGCCTACTTTCCCGTGCCTGTAATTCTTACTTTCCAACGTAATCTTTGCCCCTCTACCCAATATAAGCAGCTGGTTCATGAGGAGGGTAGAACATATTTTTGTGGACAACCTGCTGCTCTCCCATCCTGCTGGCATTATTGGAATAAACACTCATATATGATTCAACCCTGTTTCTCTTCTGAAGTGGCTCAAGTAGTGACAGGCAGCCCAGGCCCCTTGGTTGTCCTGTTACATAATTAGTATTATATCCTTCCTTCTGCTTCCTTGTCTTTTTTTTTTTTTTTACCCCCACTCCACCCCCCAGCCCCTATTGCCTGTAATCTGGTTCCAGGGGTGTCTGGAGGCACCTGTTCTTTGCTATTACCCCCAGCCCCATTGCCTGTAACCATCATAACTTGCCTACTTTCCCGTGCCTGTAATTCTTACTTTCCAACGTAATCTTTGCCCCTCTACCCAATATAAGCAGCTGGTTCATGAGGAGGGTAGAACAGATTTTTGTGGACGACCTGCTGCTCTCCCATCCTGCTGGCATTATTGGAATAAACACTCATATATGATTCAACCCTGTTTCTCTTCTGAAGTGGCTCAAGTAGTGACAGGCAGCCCAGGCCCCTTGGTTGTCCTGTTACATAATTAGTATTATATCCTTCCTTCTGCTTCCTTGTCTTTTTTTTTTTTTTTTTTTTTTTATTTTTTTTTTTTAGTTTCTTAAGGTGAAAGGTTAGGCTGTTCTTTTAAGGTCTGCCTTTTTTTAAAAATATAGGAATCTATAGCTGTAAAATTTTCTGCATCTCCCATGAGTTTGATATGCTGTTTCATTTTTCATTTATCTTGAAGTATTATCTAACTTGCCCTGTGCTTTCTTCTTTGACTTAATTTTTTTAAGAGTGTGTTGTTAAATGTCGACGTATGTGTGGATTCCCCAAATTTCCTTCTGTTGTTGATTTCTGATTTCATTCTATTGTGGCTAGAGAACATACTTTGTAAGATATCAGTCCTTTTAAATGCACTGTGCCTTGTTTTATGGCCTAAGATATGGTCTATTCTGGAGAATATTCCATGTGCACTTGGGTTGTTATACACTTTGCTGTGATTAGATGGAGCAGTCTATAGATGTCAGGCTAGTTAGTGTACAATGTTGCTCGAGTCCTCTTTTCTTTTTTAATGATTAATCCCCCTAGGGTGGCAACACCTCACCCTAGTACTCGATTAT